ACATACACTGCAAGGTGTTATAAAACACAAAAACAGTAATGACAAGTTGATCAAATCGAAATCTTGTAAGTATTTTATTCGACGATCAAAAGAAACTATTCGACAGAGAAAGACATTAATTCGCACAGTGTTCTCTTCAGTTACGTGCAGACTTAGCACAAAAGGAAAAAGGAAGATTTAAAGATGCGATCACAAGCGTTTCCTGAGAACATCAAAGATGCCATGTTAGAACAACCAGAAATATTTGGCCACAAAACACCGCATTCAGAGCTATAAATCTGTAATTTAATCCTCAGACAGGACCTGCTATCTGGTACATGAAAGGTTGTTATAATACTATTATTACATTTGATTTGACATGTCGTGAAAACAAACCCCTCGGAGGTAATCACGAAACTCCAAGATGGAGATTGATGTGTTTACTATCAAACTGATCTTGATCTACCCAATACCTGCTGTTGGCGTCCCTTGCCGCCATATGCAACAGCAAGCAAGTAAGAGAGCACCAACAATCAAACTTAATTCATCATGGTCACTTTCGAACATTAAGGTTCTATCACACACAGAATCTGTCGCTTGACTAAAGATTTTCACAGAGAGGATTGGCTGCAGACCGAAATGTAATTGGAGGATGGTGTGTACGAGTTTTGTTTTCAACCGTACGACTATCCTGTTAATAAACGGAACGAGTTTTTCAGTATTTATGTGTTATTTTGACGGTGACGTATGCTAAATCATAATATTCATGCAGGTGACCTTTGGTGCGGAACTGGGGATGGTGCCTTGGCTTCCTGAACACGAGAAAAACTGGCTAAACTAATTTACTGTAACTTTCCAGCCCAGATTGTAACAGCTGTTGGACGCTAGCTATTAATAAATATATATAACATTATCACAGAAGTCTGTAACCTAGTAGTGCACAAACGTTTAATTTTGTTGAATGCGATTTTCAGTTTCATTACAGATTACACGGAGAAGTTACCGTAGAACGTCGCTTAGTATCAACTTTCCACAATCATCACAAGCTCATCACTGTTCATCGGCATCATCTCCCTCCAGTACATCATTCTAACCAGTATTTGATGACCAAAGAAGACGATTGAAATACACTTACGTACATCTTACGTACATCTTACGTACATCTTACGTACATCTTACATACATCTGCACAAACACTGCATCAAGAGTTACCTCTATGTTAGAATTAATCCCAGCGATGACCTCTGTAGGTCAATTACAGTTCAATCAGTTACAATAATCATGATTTATCTAATTGTTTACTTTATGTTTGCTCCGAAATAACCGAGTGGCATTGTAAAAGTCGGGACGTACAATATTGAACACACTTTATGGATAACATAACAGAAATAATTGTGTTCTTCGTCCCATGACACCTTCCAAAGAGCTGATACATGACACCTTCTCAAAGAGGTGATACATAATCGTCGTGCTTGATATATCATGGATGCATGATAGATAAACGTTGATGTGTAGAAAATACCAATTGACTCATGAAATGACCAATGCCGAGCGCCAGGCAGGGACCATGGCATAGAACAATTCAATACACACCACGGAGGCGGTTCTCTTGACCATGTACATATGGCATAGAACAATCAATACAATTCCTTATTCATTTAGCATTCATATGGAATGGTTGTGTGAATACGACATGCCAAAACAAGAGGGCAATCAGTAGTCATTACCCCTCAAACAGATTCCACATGGCGTAAAGGAGAAAATAGCTGAGAAAATTATACACAGACCACCGAAAATCGGTGATAACACCAGTTGTTCGCGAAGAGGGTACGAATATCCTGTCTCACCAGTAGCGCCCACAGTTTGAACAATTGGTATTTCTGACTGACACTGCACAGCAGTACTACTGCCGTACGACCATGGTTTGAAAATAAACCAGACAATCAAGTGCTAGCAATGTAGATTATCAAAAAATAATCAAGAAACGTAATCATGCACCACACTCTTAAATTACAACACAAGCACTGGACATTTTACTATATACGTATACGTTATAATAATTCAGAACATACACGTGCACGGTACCTAACGTAGGTATTTTGTAAATCATATATGCCTAATAACTATTATATACTACAATGTGTCAATCACTACGAATCTGACTATTGAATGGACACTTTCTCATACATCTGGAGAGACTTTTGATTTTGAAACGTGTGTAACCACTGCTGTTTGCAGGCATTTTGTAAAGTGTTCCCGGTGTATATGCCGTGTAAAGTGTACCCGGTGTATATGCCGTGTAAAGTGTACCCGGTGTATATGCCGTGTAAAGTGTACCCGGTGTATATGCCGCCGTGTAAAGTGTAAAGTGTGCCGGTGTATATGCCGTGTAAAGTGTACCCAGTGTATATGCCGTGTAAAGTGTAAACTGTCCCGGTGTATATGCCGTGTAAAGTGTACCCGGTGTAAATGCCGTAAAGTGTAACCGGTGTGTGTAAAGTGTACCCGGTGTAAATGCCGTGTAAAGTGTACCCGGTGTATAGGCCGTGTAAAGTGTACCCGGTGTATATGCCGTGCAAAGTGTACCCGGTGTATATGCCGTGTAAAGTGTACCCGGTGTATATGCCGTGCAAAGCGTACCCGGTGTATATGCCGGGTAAAGTGTACCCGGTGTATATGCCGTGCAAAGTGTACCCGGTGTATATGCCGTGTAAAGTGTACCCGGTGTATATGCCGTGCAAAGTGTACCCGGCGTATATGCCGTGTGAAGTGTACCCGGTGTATATGCCGTGTGAAGTGTATCAGCCGTATATGCCGTGTGAAGTGTTTCGCAATGACTTTCATATGCATCATACAAAGACCAGAGTCACATGTAAGTTAATGAAAGCGTCAGAGTAATTTCCAGAATCATACAAAAAAAATTGCAATATGAGAGCCACAATCAATGGATGCAATGAACGCAAACAGTTCCAATCCGTGTCCTCATCCTGGAAATATCATCAGTCAAAGTAACGGTCAAAGAAACGAATTCTCTGTATCTGTGGTTCCTCGGGGCAATGGAAACATGCTCTGTGACAGCGCATCATATCAGATTATTAACGGTAACCTTATCAGATTATTAACGTTAACCAATAAAATCATCTGAAGAAATAAGATACACTGATATGCCTGAAGGCACATTTCAAGTAGCCATAATTCATATCTCAAACTGATTAATGTCTGTAAAGGGAAACAATGTTAATAGCATCCTGTTGTTTGAAACAATGATGACAGGAACTGCAGAACGTAATTAATAAGTCCATATCATGCTCGAGGAGAAACGAGCTGTTATAGCAAACCAACATCATCCAGGTCAACCTCACCTTGAGTCATATACAACATCTGATTCACAGACAGTAGATGGTGTCAGAACGCTGGATATTGTTTCGCGAGTGTTGATTGATCCGTTCGGAGCTTCACATAGAAAGACTCGACCAAAAGACATTAAAATGATTTATTTCTCAGCATAATCTCCTTTTACACTGATGTACTTTAGCCTAAGACGTTGGAGGGATTCTATCATAGTTTCGTTGAAACGTTGGCCGTAGATGCTATGGTGTCACCGTTCTGGTCGAAATGGTTTCCAACTTGAGCTTTCTTCATGTTTGGGAACAGATGGATGTCTGAAGGAGCCAGGTCGGAGAATAAGGTGGGTGCTGATGGAATTCGAAGTCACACTCGCGGATTGTATGTATGGCAGTGACCGATATGTACACTGTCGTTTGTCGTGATAGTGAATAATCCTTTGAGCAGACCTTTTCTCAACTTCCAACGTCTCTTATTCCTAATCTCGAATGTGAAGCATAATATTCTATGTCTTGTGTCTGGCCTTTTGGAAGATAGTCCACCATGATGATATCCCCGGAATTCCAGAACGTGAATGCCATAACCTTTAAAGCTGACTGGACAGTATTTGCTTGATAGTATTTGTTGATAGTATTTGCATTCGTCGACCAGCCGTGACCATATCGGGAATTCTCTGGATAATTTCTAATGTTGCTTCGTCTGTGGCATTCCAAGATGGAAATGGTCTTCAGGGCTTTTTCTGAAACGCTAAAAAACAGCTGTCCATCTCTTTACAATTTTTCAGGTCGGTGGATCCTTCCTGGTTTTGTATCCGTATCTCCACTGGTGCCGTTCCTGAAGTTGGTCCATTTTCCAAAAGTTCAAAAGGTCAACGACCCCTGTATAATTTAATGGCTTGAATTTGGAAATTATAGAAGAAAACTTACAATTGGTCATTGGACGGATTCTTTTCCGTATAATCGTTGTGTGTACAAAATGATCGCCTTCTCGTTCCAGCGAGAAAGAAATGGACAATTTAAATAACAATAAAAGCGACAGATTCTTTCCTCATCCATAAGAAATCTCTGGTCGATTGTACCATTACGTCTATATTATGAGCATGTGGAAGCAGTGGAAGGAATATTCAGTCTCCAGCAAACTTCCCATAATAATAACAAGTAGATCACTGGCTCACAAGCACGGAATTAAAGAGACATATGATGGAACCATGTCTTAGCGTTATTGATGCTTTCAGTCTTCTGTTGCACAGTTGATTGATTCAGGCTTTTGTACTGTCTTACGTTAACGTTTCAGAAACACATCACCGATCGTTCAGAAAAATAGCTAATTGCTGGTTTGTTCTGAGCCACTCCAATATTCAGTATATTCAAACATTAATATATCTTCAGTGGGACAATATACATAGCTTTGTGTGTCAACGATCTTGGCTAGCTACATGTAGTATGTGTGTGATGAACATTTAATTTAGCTGCATCACCTGCTGTTGGCGTGCGCACCAATTCCCAAATGAAGTGGTTTCCTGTATCAAATCACACATGCATGTTCTATTCTTCTTGGTTATGCAAGGTGATGATCTACTGAACAGTAGCCAAAAGATAGAAGCAGCACAACTACAAGTATCAAGCCAAATTCAAAACCAAATAAGCTAAAATATGGAAGTAATCACTCAAAGACACTGCCTGTGTTGTGAAAGATACCAACGTCCATTACCTGATTGTGAGGAAACCAAATGTGTTTTATGTCATGTATACTATATACTATTCACACTTTGCTAAGGATCAAATCATTGATTCAACAGAAAACTATGGTGTGGGGTCTAATTTGGTTTAAAAATCTAAGGTTATTGTAAGCATGGATCCGAGGGTTCAGTATGTCACTCCATCTTGTGGATCCCATACCTGCTATTGACAGGTGTTGTGTACTTGTCAATGACTAGTTCCATGATTTGCAAAATGGTTGATTGGTGCCATGAAAACCATTTTATGGTTACTCATGTATCAAGTGTATAAGGTTAGATTAAAGTGGCTGTTTGCCTAAAGAGGGGTTACCATATCATTATTTACCTAGTTTTAAATGGATACAATTTCAAATTATAAATCTATGTTTAAGTAAAGTTAGGAATTTTTGTGATCCTTAGCAAAGTGTGAGTAGTATATAGCACAGCACTGTCGACGCTGGTCGATAGCAACATGAGCAAGATTTCTTGCCATGGAAATGAAGTGTTTTCACAGTATTTTCAAAGCTTGTATATTTAAAATAATCTGTCAATAAGGCCAAGTTAAACAAAGGAGTAACTGACATTTCATGTTTTAACCATACAACCAGACCAATCTGTTTTCAATGCACTGGAAAGGAATAATGTGCACTGTATATTACTTGCATGCTGAAATGTTGCAGCTCATACAAACACAGAATGTTGATATTTAACAAATACCTTTTTGCATGTAGAAATACATGCCTATGCAATTGATTAAGATTACTGTTTTGGTAAGCATGTTTCTTTTCTTGGAAAACCTTGATACATAACTGAAAATCTATTCTCATTGTCATGTTACATTAAATGTCGAATCAATATCATGGCTGATAGCAGAAATCGTCCAAAACATAAAAATTGTGCTATCACCATCCGCGCTTACAAAAAGACAATAAACAGGTTTACAGCTATTAAGTAAGTTTATTCACAGGTCATGGTTACTCATAAAATATAAAACGTTCTTCACATTTCCCAGATGCCAAGCCTGGAAAACGTACTGTAACAGTATGAACTGGAATAGTTTCATGGTCACTCATAGTGATTCCCACTGGAATATCTGAGAGTTCCAAGACGTTCCACAACAGTATATGTTGATGCCAAGCATTTCCTATTCAAGCAAGAGTCCAGTGTATCATGTATAGGATTTAAATACTTTTTCAACTGTATAAACAACACTTGCTGTATCGTCATGGGCAATGTGCTGCTTGACCACCAAAGTTTCAAATAAATCCGAAGATCTGTTACGGTTTGAGTTGCACTTGATGTCAATATCAATTGTGGTGGTACAGAGATCAACTCTTCCCTCTTTCGCCTATTAAACGAATGAATCTGATCCAACTGCAAAAGAAACATAGCAAATGTGAGAACAAATATGATTCACTTCTAAAGAGCAAACAGTTCCTCACAATTCTGACATCAAGATATAATTGATAAATTAAGCATGTAAATGTTATATTCAACTACATGCTACACTATAAACAAATGGTAAATGGGGTTGTAATGATCCAAATCACATACAAATTTCATTAATGAGACACGTATACGTATTCAGAACTCTTAGAATCAAATATTGTGTGGACATTATCATCAATATGTGCACATTATTAAATTATGTTTTATTTAATTACACATTCATAACATATTGTTTACTTTTTAGATTAAAACCTGAAATTCCAATGTACATCACAGTATCTCCTTAATTATTCCAAATTACAGTATATTTTTTTCATTGCACACTCCCTATAAAATGTTTTTGTACAACTTGAATACTTAAGAACATAACAAGTACTGACAAAAAAAAATTCAAATAGTCAAAATGTACATTATTGTTTTTTTATCCTATCTAGCTATTTTTGTGAGGTTCCAAAGAACTTTACATTGCTATATATACTGGAAAGGGCTCAGGACAGATTTATTGGATATTTGCCATGGTAAATAACGTAAGTGATACTAAATGTATTAAAACTGCAAAATCCACTTCCCTGTCTTGTACTATAGAGTTACAAATATAATCACACGATTCATCGATTTCCACACATTTCAACTCCATCTTTACTGTATGTGTCATGATTGAACTATACAGCCTTTTAATGAAAACAAAGAAATCGATGTCAGGAATCAACTTACCTCGACAGATGAAAGGGCTGCGGTCACCCTGACGTCGATTAAGGACGATTTGACAACTCTTCAGCAGCTTTGACAAATATACACGTGTTATTCATGCTACCTTATCCACGTGTGTTTATATTATGTTGCATGTTTTAGTCACACAGCGTGAGCGGGTCTGAATAGCCGTTGTCATCAAATGTTATTAGTCACCGGAAGTACTAAACAACGTAAGGTCTCGCGTAGTCCCGTGACCTACTTACGGGCCCGATAGAATAACTATTTCTTGTTTTTCATCATTTGAGCCACAAGTCAAACATGGCTATATACGTTGAATCACAAGTCAAACATGGCTATATACTTTATTGTACCTGTCATTTTATTAATATAGTTATATAATTGCATAAAAGGAATGTATAGTCCAGTATGCTATAAAGTATATGAAAATACATCGGATGGCATATTCAAAGATATTTGCTGTCGTATGTAATATATCGATCTGTCTGTCTGTCTGTGTGTGTGTGTGTGTGTGCGTGCGCGCGCGTGTGTGTTGTAAAGTGTATGTTATAAAGTATGTGTGTGTATTCTGTGTGTTTTGAGTGTATGTTCATGTTTCATTCATTAATCTTTTGGGCACATTCAAGTAAATAGATGCTCTCAATATCACGTGTGTAAGAAGTGAATTTGCACGTAATTATAGACACACACTCAAGATGTACAACCTCTCTCATGTCTTTTAATACCAGATCTGTGTTTACCTAACGATGTCTCGATCCTGTCAACTATCTGTAATTCGATAACAACCTAAACGAGACACACACTAGTGCATTTTGACGCTGTGACGTATGAAGGGGTAATATTCAATACCATATCTCCTCTTCCATGATATGTCAATTTTGGCAAAATGCGTTATATCAGTTAAACAACACGACAGTAATTATACACATTACTGTTTGCTATTATAGATTCGCCATAGGTAAATACAAACATCATCCGTGACATCATTGTTTATACACGTTTGCAATTCAAGGGAAAATAACAGAACCACCGAAGCACATTGAATACTATGTTCGGCATATAATACACGCAGCTGGAGAACTACAATCAATAATTACCATGCAATACGTCTGTTATCCTTCTTCGGCAGCACTAAATGCACACTGCATTATACGTCCGTCCAACTGTTTTGGAATGCATGAGAAGATATAGTTTCACATGTCTGCCTAATACTGAATACTCACCGCGCGTCTTGAACCGGGTTGTATCACAGTGCTCTATCGCTCAATCTACCCACAGTACACTCCGAGGAAGGGTCAGAGACACAATACAATGACTGTTTCCGTCACGAAAGACAAAACTCGGTAGCTGTACAGTGACATGCGAATAGGCTTATCTCTACCAAAGCGTCTACATGCGCCACCAACAGATGGCTGGCGATATCACCAATGTAGACTTGATCAAGTCTCCTTTTGTACGTCAGAAGAGAATTGGAGGGCGTCGGCAGTGTGTCATATTTATATGAGTGTTGATATTATTAGAGCTGTTGACGCCGAGCGGCGATATTGAGACATATTTTGGTATATTGTGCTAGACCGCGACCTTTTACAGTTTATCGTGTCATCTGAACTAGTTCCTCGTTGGTGTGGCGACACGTCAATTGTTCATCAAAGGAGGAAATTAATGCACATTGTTCTTCCTGGGCCGTGACTACCTGTCACACACGCTCAGTATCCTTGGAAACCGATTTTATGACTTGAATGTTGAAGCAAACTTTGAAAAAATATCACCAAGGAGGAAGAACTTAGGGGCCCGTTCATGATTTATGGCTAGGGTGTGTGTGTGGGGTTGGCTGGGTGGGGTGGGGGAAGAAGAAGCATATACAATGTGAATGCTCCCCCCTCTAAAATGTATGTACAAAATAAGTGACACCCCCCACCCCGCATGTCATGTACAAAATCAATGACCCATCCCCATAATTAAAGGCGTGATTCTTTGATATTATACAAAATTGATGCACCCCTACCTCCCCAGAGCAAAATGGGTGACCCCTCTTAAAATCATCATCACCCCCAAGCCATGAATTATGAACGGTCCCAAATAATATCACTGTACGGAAGATAATCAATTGATTACGACGTCATATACATTGTTGTATACACCAACATATGACATGTACATACCAGTTGTACACCACCATGCTTGAAATGAACACGAACTGCAAGACACAGTGGTGTGGACTACAAAAGCTATCACAGCAACGAGTACCTGCTTTGCTGTCGAGCTTGTCAATCAGCCGTACGCTTACGTTACCTGTGGTCAGTCAAGCAGTGCTAGACAAAAAGAACCCTTAATCCCACGACATATTAGGATAATGAGCCCGACCACAGCCGGTGATCCCATTTACACCAATAATATTATATATACGCTTTGAAATGTACATGGGTTTGTTGAGCTGTCTTCAATGTTATGGCTTTTCTCTTCTTGTGATACACACCAGTACAATGAAATAACGATTACTTATGGTAACGAGAACTTTGATGTGGAGTGTCGGATGTGGGACATGCCATCTGATACTCTGAGTGTGGCATTTTGTACATGTATGAACACTATATTGTTTATTCAGCTACAAATAAAAAAAATACATATTTTTAATCAAAACTCCGAGTCTAAATATTTTTTTACAAACACTCATTGAAGCAATGTGGGTTTTTCTTGGTAGCCAATTTCTTTCTTTTTCAACATTCTGAAACATACGTTTTGCAGTTTGTTCGAACTAATGAGAACTCCTGTGGGACCTGGAAACATAATTGTAGCGACATTTGTGAATGCCAGTATTTTACTTTTTTACCTGTCTTTAAGGAATATAATTTACGATGTGCATTCATGCAAAGGGTTTACAGAAATACTCCAATACTGCAATATCTGTCCTCTTTCAGAGAGTCCTACCCTTTCATGTCTTCCGGCGTTACAATGACGTGACGTCAAGACGAAATGAGTTAATCAGCAGGTTTTAAAATCCGAATCGATCCCATTTCTAAAGCAAGTTCTGTTTTGGAAACGGGACAAAGGATATGTTATTGATGAGTCATCAATATCGGTCATACCTTTATGTTTTATGTTGTGTAACTAGGGATAGGAAAGCATTCATTAACGATTGTATTTACCAATTCATGTAACAGCCTTTAAACCATTCATGTAAAGGATTATTTTATCGATTCACCAAAGAATACTTCAAAGCAAAACAATACATGGTGTGCGATTGATCCTGGAACATGACAATGAACATGGGAACAATGCGTTGAAAGATTCTTCACTTAAACTGTACATGAATACATGGTGGCACAATCTCCTTCCAGTTCTGACATTAGGTGATGACAAAGCGGCATGTTTGGACTCGGCTTTGAGATATATCAAACCAGAATGGCTGGCAAAAAAATTAATAACACCTCCGTCTTAGAAATCTGTTCTCAACCTAATGACCGAAAATTGTCAAAATACTATATATTATCATATGATTATTGTAATATATCAATATGTGAGATTCTACTCGCTCACGCAATGCTGTTATTAATTATCTATAAAACCCTTTCCACAGTCAGAAGAAATCCAAGCAGGGTCGATTGTACGACCCCGACTGTGTAATTACTATGTATTCATAAGTCACTATTAATTAGTGTTGCTACTGTGACTGTTCCCTGAAAAAAAACAGGAGCGTGTGGTAGAAATCAAAATACGCAGTTGAATCTGACTTCATTTTTGCCAATTTTTGCGTTTTATTTGGAAATGTCCTGAATATGAGTGCCTGTTAACAGGTTTTGAAAGCTTTACTGAGGCTTCTATTGAGGCCTTTACTGAGGTTGTCACCTTGATTAAACAACTGTTGAAATATATCAACTAACAATGAAAGCAAACTACAATACAAAAATAATGTCAAAAAGAAAACCCAAAGGTCCGGATCAAATCAAACACAGTAAACCTGGATCACGTTAACGTCACTTCGTCCCGGGAAGATACGAATTCAGCTCATAATATGGTAGGTCTGCTTATGTATTGATAATTTGCGTGCGTACGTGAAGTGACAGTGTCGTTATATACGCATTTAGCTGAAATAAGTAAATTCATCGTCCTGGTATGTCCTGTCATCTATCGGTCTCCTTTCACTGAAATGTTATCATAATGACAATTTCTGAGTGAAAATGACATTAAAAGATACCCACTGATCGCGCTTTCTAAACGCTGCTTAAACAAGATTGGGGATTCCACAGTGACACTCCTTCGTAACTTATCACTTTAGGTCTTCAACTCTTTTGGTATTATTCGCTGAATATTAATAATGCCTTGATTTCTGTGAGTGTGCTCGACGCAGGTTTCAGCACTGGAACCGTCAGTTTTCTGTCGGGGGACTCCAAGAAGTTGTATCAGGATAAGGAGCGGACGCTTTAACCAAAAGCTATCGTCTAGCCAACCACCCATTGATTTTGACATTATTCCCAATTGACTATTTACAGCAACATTCTGGTAATAATACCAAATGTCAAACAATCAATGTTTTGCAGAAAATACCACTTTTATCCATTTCTGAAACACCGCCGACAGACAATTAGTGGTACTGGGCTACAATAGTGACCACGCGAGGTGATGAATCGCCGGACAATGGTCAAATGGACACCTTCCGGCTACGCCTAACGGGAACTGCTGTCCGTACCCCGTCTAGGAAACAACGCGTCCTTCAGAGATCGCCGCACGACGCTGAGGATCTAATCTCAGGTGCCGAGGAGAGTCCGTCTCCAAGCAGGTGCTTGACATGACAGCTTCATGTTCTGATGATGAATTGCCGTCTGTGCTGCTTCAGAAGGACCATCCTCATCCTTAATTACACGCAACAGAACCCAAGAGTGAGAATCGTTTTACGCCGCTTTAAACAAAATTCCAGCAATATCATGGCGTTATATCCACATGGGAATCGAACACGGGTCTTGTGACGAGCGAACGCTGTAACCACTAGGCCACCAATCACTCATTGACCCTGGGGGAATCAGAACTTGAATGTGGACACCAAAGTGCAATTTCACTCGCTGGTTACTTTCAATACCTGACATATTTGTAGCGCAAAGGATTCAAATAATTCAAGACCCGTGAAGGTCCGGGTTAGAATGTGCCTTCAGTAACCCATGCTTGTAGTAAGATGCGACTAACGGGA